GACCGCAGGGTGAGCGCCCCCTGCTGGCCCCACTAACACCTCTTCCAGCAGCAACCTTAGTTTTTCCCAGGAGGTCTCCCATCCAGGTACGGACCAGGCTCACACCTGCTTAGCTTCAGTGGGTTGCCAGTTGTGAGTTGCAGGGTGATATGGCTGCTGGCATTATTATTATTATTAATTAGAAAGTTGTCGAGGCCGACTGCAGAGCGCAAATTTAAAGATTCATGATGCCGTCTTAAGCGAACCGGCACCGATCTGTCGGATGCGAGTTCCCTTCCGATCAGCGGATGACGAGCTCGTACGCTACCACGTTAGAGACCTTGGGAGATTTTACAGCGCATGTCGCTGTCAAGAACGAACAAAAAAGCACCATCTGATGTCCGGCAGGTAGCGCCACACCGCTCTTTCACACAGAACAGAAAGGCAGGACCCGAAAAAAAAAAAACCCCTAAGAAATCCTGCAGTATTGCGTCACTGCCAAACACTGAACTCCCCGCCTCTTTGCGCGTTTCTATTGGCTCTCCGGCGCCCTACTACAGCGACATTCACATCCCATTGGCCCATCCAGCTGCCTATCAATGCAGTGACGAGCGAGTTGACGTAATCTTTTCTGCTGCTCCCCTCTGCCTCTCTCTCCCCCCCCCCCTCCGGCATTCCAGCTTCTTCAGCTACCCCAGAGTAGAAACAGTGTCTAAATTTTCCGGTGGCATTTTTCGCTTCTCCCCCTCTCCCTCAAGTCTTTTTTTTTTTTTCCCCGTCTCGGTACTTGTCTCCGCTGCTACCGGGGGGGCTAGCGAGCAGTTCCGAGCGAGCGCCGGGCGCAGCGGAAACCCTTTTGTGGCGGAGGACGAAGTTGTGTTATAATGGGTGTATTTGACAATAGGAGATTTGTTCCACATCCTTCTAGCAGCTTATACTGAGCAGTGGCACTGCACCTCAATCCGCCTCCGTGTTCCCCCCGAGGACCTCGATAGGTAAGCAAAACCTTTTTTTTCCCACCCCTTTCAAAATATCGTGCGTCCTAATCACCCATGTACTTGTGTGTTAGCGTCCGTATTCCAGCCTTGACCTACCTCGTTAAGCGATGGGATGCGGCTGTGTTTATGTCGGTACTGGTGGGCTAATAAGGTTGTTATTAATACTTAACACACTGTTCGGCGCAGGAAGGATTCAGCGCCTGTGCAGGGTATGGATGGTGCTGTACCGAGATTTTTCACACTAATGACAGCTCCAGTACTTTAATAATATGTGTGCGAATGGCTGTTTTTTTCGCCCTTGCAAGTGGTTTAGACTGTTACAACAACCTTGCAAACGCTACAATGTAGCGAAAGGCGACTGATCGGCAACTCATCGGTGCTGCGTGTGGGAGAGAGAGACCCCGGACTCGCACCTGATCCCAGGAGACAGGGCAGCCGGCTAGAAAAACACAAGCAAAAAAGAAAGTTTTTTTTTTTCAATACGCCAAGAGATGGCATTATTATTGAGTCGCTTAACGCCGGCGGAACGGAGTTTCCACGTCTGATAGGAGCGTCATTCCTAGATTTCCGTCACACTAGATCATGGACCATAAAGCGAAAGAAGTGCGGTGCAAATGTACTTCAGTCTGTTTTCCCACAATGGTAACGTGATTTACTTTCAAAAAGGGCGAAAGTAGTTTTTGTTTCTTCCTATTCCCCGAGCCCCTGTTTAATAATTCTTTCCCAGCCCTGTCAGGCCGATCTCCGCAGTTTTCTCCATGGGCGTATGCCACCATCTGTTACAAATGTTTAAACGTCCCGATTTCCAAAAGTATACAAACGCCGATTTACCAAAACTCAAGCATCTGCTGTTTTTTTTTTTGGGGGGGGGGGGAACTGATGAGCAATCCGCCCCCGACCTATCGACTCATTTTGTAAACTCATTTGTGTACACGGTCTTTTTTTTTGTAGAAAAAAATAATAATTTTCCTGACTAATGAGGAGGTGTCGTAGCAAGCCGTGACAAACTGTTTAGGGGTTTCTTCTCCAGAAGCAAGACCGTGTATGTATTTTGTTGTTTTGTTTAAGTGCCCTCAGCACACGAAGACGACGTAGAAATGTCAAACGCGGATTTCAGACTCCATTAGGAAGGTGTTCCGACAGCGGTCCGTCTGCTTGCGAGTAAATCGCAGGAGAGCAGAGCACTTTCTGGACCCCGGGTCCGGTTCTGGACCTGCCAAGTTCAGCCTTAGCTCTGCAGTAGGTCGGTGGCGGCGGCCATGTTGTGGAAGCGATGAGAACTGCCTGCCACATACATCGGAACACCTATAGAAGACCGGATGTTTTTCCGACAGCCCCTCTCTACCCCTCTGCTGGTTTACTCTTCTGTCTCTTAATAGTATGTGCAGGATTGTCACTGATGCACGCTCCCTAATTGAAGAGGGGTTCTCGGTGGCACAAAGAAATCAAGGAGATTAAAAAATAAATGGATGAAGTACAGGCTCCAATGTTAGTAATGGCAATTTTAATAATTGAATTAGTTATAAAGCCACTACTAATTATTAATCGTCTAGTCACAATGGCCCCGTCTTTCATACTAGGCCTGTGCTGACACATAATTCAACACATATTACGCCTTGAAGGGTCTTCTTTCCTCCTTTTGTGAGGAAATATGGAGTGCTGGACACAGGTAGATGGGGTGTAATTTATTTGTTTTACTCATTTCAGGGGGCTGGGTGGTAGGGTTGAGCTGTTGTAACTCCTGCTGATTCCTGGAAGGACTAAAGACATTGTGAGTGGTGTTGGAGGGGGTGAAGGGGAGAGGGCTACATATCCCAGGAAAACAGGAGTCTTCGTCTTAAAGCACCACTTCCTGAAAAAAAGAATTCCTGCTTGACCACTGATCCCGAAATCGATTTGCCGTTTCTCTCCTTGGCCCGGACATCCACCTGTTTGTGTTGTGTAGAGGTTTGTGTCTTGTAGGCGTCTTTACAGTACAGTATCCGCTTGAATGGGTTCTGTGTGGCTGGGTGCCAGAGAAGCCATGTCATGCCTGTGGCTTGCTCTGCGGCTTGCTCCGATGGAGAAGCTATGGTTTCTACTTTGTGCCGAAGTGGCGGCTCCTGTCCTACCGCAGGAACGTGATTCACGTGGTCGTGAATTATTGATTTGACCGTCCCTTGTCCACCTGTGATGCATCACTGCTTTCAGACGTTTTCAGGTGCGAAATCTGTTTGGTCTGATATTGTCAGCTGGGGGAGGCGAGACAGTCCAGGTCGTTGTTATTGCAAGGCCAGTGCCGGGTTTTGAATGTAGAGGATGACGTTGTGCGCAGGGTGTTCCCCCTTTATTGAGAATGCCTGCTTTTAAGGATCGGTGTAGATCCTGAGCTCATTCTGCTTTTGAAGTTTTTGTTGCGGCTAACCTAATGGTTCAGGTTTCACGTGCAACTGGTTCAGCCCAGTAGGACTACAGTCTTGTTCTGTCATAGAGCGGAGAGCAAAGATAGTTCTGTTATCACTAATTTGAGTGAAGTGCACTCTTATATATATGTAGTTAGTGGCAATTAAAAAAAAAGTTTCCGTTAATTATATAAAGGATGTTTAAGAACTGGTTGACTTTGTAATCCCAGTGGTTTGTAACTGTACACTAGAAGCATTGCTTCTGTAATACAAGTAGAAATACAATAATGCAAATATTTCCATATGTATGCATGCCTGTTTTTCTATGAGCCAGATTTATATGTGAAATAACCCATTATTAGAAATATCTAAGCAGTCTTTCATATAAGACTGATTTGTTTTTTTTAATGCTCATTTTTGTTTTTCATTCAATATCTTTGAATTCTGCAGTATCTAACTTAGTTCAGACAGTGCCAAAAATGTGTCTGTTTTGATAAAAAGGCAGCCATACTGAGTCACTGTTGGGGTGGAAAAGTTTGTGATATATCTGTAACAGATTGAATCCCCTACCTCTGAGCCTGGAATAAGAATAATTATGTTATAAATCTGTTGTTTTTAATTTCCTCTTTCAGCTTTTCACGTGTTTGATTTATTCCAGTTTGTAAGAAAAGCCTCTTCTGTAAAATGAAAGTGTTCAGGGAAAGAAGACCTACATTGTGTGGTCATAACGAAAGGGCTGTTCTGAACTTTGCCGAGGGCATTTGTGTGCATTTTCTCAAATAGAATCTCTTTCACTGCGTCCTGCAGGAACAAGGAACTGAACAGCACAACTGAGAAACTGAAAAGAACAAACTAAAACTGCCAAGATGTCGGGGGCTTCAGTGAAGGTAGCTGTGAGAGTACGACCCTTCAACTCCAGAGAAACCAGCAAGGATTCAAAATGCATTATTCAGATGCAGGGCAACTCCACCAGTAAGTACACCCGGGGCCTCTTTATACTTGCATTAAGCTGGCAGTGTGGATGAGAATGTCCTTCCAGATTCTGCTGACATGCAGCCTGTCAAAGTCAGTCCAAATCGGCGATGATCTGAGCAGAAAGGAAAATCACCAGGGCCTTTTTTAATTCCCCTTGTTGCAAAGGTTCATGGTCGAGCAACCCCCTGTGCAGTCAAGGCCGATTTCTGCACAGGGGGAAGAGGCTGGGTGGCTGTTGAATGGTAGACCCTCAGGCCGCCAGCAGTTCAGCCTCTTTCTGCTCTTTTGTGCTCTCGCCCTATTCAGAGCTGCATTGTGTGAGATGGGCAGTTTGCTCTGAAGTATTGGAAAATGGGTTATTTGAGTTGGCTCATCTTTTGTGCCATGGTAAAAATCCCGAGGCATGGCTATTATTCACAGCTGGCTGTCAGAGGACTGTGCATTCACGGCATCACATGGTCATGTCCTGCTGCAGGGCGTGGCCTCGGCTTCAGCCCAGAGTGTGTGTGTCATTAAAACGCTGATTTGTTTAACTTGTGTGACCTGCATTGCTTCAGTATGACATTCTTGTGGGACAGTTTTCAAGGACCGCACATCTTGAAAGATTTATTCTGCTGTAAAGCATCAAGTTGCTAAGTGAGAGGTCTGCTTCTCTAGCTGTTGTCTGAAAGCAGGCTGTCAGACAGTAGGTGATGGGGTAAAGGTGTCCTGGGCCAGGCACCAGCAGATGAGGGTAATGTGATATGTATGATTTCTACTGCAGCTGCACAGAATTAATGATGTCCAGCCTGTTCAAAAGTAGCGTTTGAGACTTATCGTCTTTCACATTCAGTTCTAATGGTATTGCATCAGGGCAGTCCAATATTAAAACTAAAAATATAAAATGACAAAAAAAGAAAACATTCGGTTATGCTGCAGCAGAAGTACTTTTAATTACTGCAGTGATGCTCTGTTTAGAACCATAGTTTCCATCCAGTCCTGTTTTATTAGAAATGTGCTGGCTGCCATCAGAAACCTGGGTACCTTCAGTAAAGATCTATATAAGCCCCCCCTTCTCTATGCTGAGCCTGATATTGCATGAACTGAACGGTTATTCGACATGATTCACCAAACCCACTGGCCGATAAAGATAACGGTTCCATTAGCAGAAATTGCAGGAGTAGCCAATCACAGGGCGCCTGCAAGGCACTTGTGCTCATTAGGGTTGTCACCATAATTAAGTTTAAGATGAGGATTGGAATGGGGGGGGGGGGTTCTGTCTTGGGATGGGGATACCAGCCAGAAACTAAAAGTGAGATCTTGGAGCCTCGTGAGCTGGAAACAGGCTCCCACTCTGTTCCACACGAAGCAAGTTTCATTTTGCATGGGGCCATTTTTTTCCCACCCTCCAGGCTGATGCTGTAAACTGTATATAGCAATTCTAGGAGCTCAGTGATTTTTAAACGGTCCTGTAAAAAATAACTAATACCATTCGATATTGCCTCAGGAATATGAAGAAAGCCAGCTGGTCATGAGAGCTGAAATAATTATAATTGCATATTACTGTTTTCCCTGCTCGCGTTAAGTATATGGGTATTTTAAACTGCCTAATCCAGGTTTATTTATTGATCTGCAGCTGAACGAGGTAGGGGGTTTGAGTCTGCTATTGGCATTTGAAAACCTGCAATACAGTAGCAGATGAAATTGCAGAGGTTAACTGGAGTAATGGAGAGAGCAGAAATCTGCAGTCTACCTTTGTTGTCACATGTGCAGACTGCATAGCAGACTGTTGGCTTGGCAGCTGGCCCGCTCTCCTTGATCAGAACTTGATTGCAGATGGTATGCTGAGCATGCTGCCATCGTGTTGCGCGGCTGAGTGAGATGGTGGCCGTTGCCCTGAAGGCCTGTGCAGATACTGGAGCAAAGTCATTAAACCACGAGATGAGGCCGCAGCCTTCTGCTCAGATATGCAGCTCATTCCCAAGCATCCAGGAGAACGGCGAGGCTGGGGGATTGTGTGCTCCAGGAACACGGCAGTGCCTTAACTAAGGAAAGTGTCATAGTGAGCTTTGTCGCTGTCGACAGCCTAGTTACATGCAAGTCTGGCAGGTGAGCCTGCTGGACTGCTGCAGAATTTTCCAGTGCTGCATGACAGCACTTTCCTCTAATGCTTTGTGCAGCTGTGATCCCTGCTAACACAGAGTGTTGCCATGTTAGCACTGCCTGGAGACTTCAATGGGTTTGCAGTGATGTAACAGATTTCTGCAGTGTTGACTGAATGGCCATGGCAGATTGTGGGAATGTGTCATCTCACTGGTCCCACTGGTGCTGCAGGGAGGAGTGAGACCGTGATCCCCGCTGCGTGACGGAGGCGTCGGGGGCTCTCGGCTCTGGGCAGTTGGGTGCAGTGGGAGGGCGAGTGATGGAGGGAGTCCACTGCCACGCAAACGTTCTCCTCACGCGTGCACGCTTAGCGCGCTCGGGGGTCGGCGTGCTTCGACAGGCAGAGAAAAGGGCTTTGAAAATGAATTATTTAGGGCCTGAATTTTAGGCTTTTTTATTTTTCTGTTTTTTCGTGCAAAATCTAGATTTTGCTGGAGGCGAGTTGAAGCCTTCAGTCTGAGCTGGCACGGCTGCAGTTTGTGTGATCGTAATGGGCAGCTCTCTCACTTCATGGTGTTGTGTTAGTAGGCTTGTGCACAAAGGACTGATTAAATATAAGCTTGGTTTTGCAGCAACTGGTGGCTCTGTCTGTGCAGTGGGCTCTATCTCTGGACTTGAGCTGTTTTGGTGTTTAGC